GCACAGATGTGTATGTATCAAAACATATGGGATATACACATGCACATTTTTTATTCTTAGAGTGGCAAGGCCTATTTTTAGTATTATATCAGAGTAAAAACATAAGAGAAATTGTTAGCTCTAATCACTTAAAAAATAAAAATCTCTTTCCAAACTTGAGAAGACCAAGACTTCACTTCTGTTAAATTAGCCCAATTCTAGGCTTACAAATACCCTCTTCTCCTCCCTTCATTGGAACGAGAGTGGCTTAATGACAGCTAGAAAATTAGAGGGGCTGTGGTGGAGTAGGAGAGATTGTGGGATGCAAATGTCCTATCTTTAATTTCCAGGGACCTTCTTGTGTGGCTACTCCTGATATCTAAAGCCATGCCAGTCTTTGCTGTGGGGTAGCTCTCTCAGCGGTGTCTCTAAGAATGTTACATGCAGATGTGGGGAACCAGTCTTCATTATCTTGATGTACGATGTAACCCATCCGCTCTGGGATCCTGTCCCTCTCTTATCCAGGACACTGCCACAGGTAGCTCAGAAATGTCCTCCTCTGAAAAGCCCTTGCTCATGGTGGTAGGGATAACTGACACTTCCTTCTGCCACTGCCTTTTCTTCTCCCGCCTGGCCTCTACTGCTTTAATCCAAAAGATGGAGAGTGATAAGAAAGACTCCCACCGTCAACTCTGAGGGCTTCCACATGCATGTGCACACCCCCCCCCACACATATGTGCACATGTACACATGAGCACACACACTGTTGGTCTGCTTGAACAAAGAAACCTGAGCCATACTAAGTTACCAAAAAATGAAATAAAACAAACAAACAAAAACCCAAAAAACCCAAAACAAAACCCAACCACTTTTCATTCTAAGAAAACAGTAGCAAAGATTTTGTATCTTTCTTCAGTCTACATTTTTCCAAATGAAGATACAGAAAAGAGAAAGGCAAAGAGGTCACTGTGGCTGTTCCCGAGAAGAGAGAATTCTGAGTCATCTTTTCTTTTTAGCTTTGTATATTGGAGGCATTTATACACAACACAACACACAGATACATATATATTCTTAAAGTCATTCCACCAGTTTGGGATGAAAGGAAAAAGACAAGATGGAAAAAAGTTATGACTTTCTATGAAGCAAGCATGGAGGAAGAAACTTACAGGTTACTATTTGCAGGTTACAATAAAAATAATGAAGACAAAATAATCCTTGGGTAAGCAGAATTGACTAGGATCTGAACAAAAGAGCACCCATGATTGTGTGTGTGTGTGCATGTGTGTGTATGTCTCTCTCTCTCTCTCTCTCTCTCTCTCTCTCTCTCTCTCTCTCTCTCTCTCGTGTGTGTGTGTGTGTGTGTGTGTATAAGTAATTCACCATGGGATCTTTCTGAATGCACAGCTTTAGACTGTTCGGACATCTTAAGTCGCTCATCCTGGATCTTTCAAACACAGGTTTTGATGATGGCCAGGTGAGCATGTGTCCTAAGTTTGTGCATCTGGAGCAAGCTCTGGTCAAATGATGCTGAGGTTTCTGCTCTTCAGTCGAGAAACAAGGGACACTGTGATAGGTGAGCGTTGGAAGCAAAGGAAAGAGCTCCTTGAGAGAATACTTCAAGTAACGTATGTGCAGGTATGGATGCCAGAACAGGAGAGGGAGTGTGCGCTAATTGCTTTCGGCGCATGCTCTATGTGGGAATGAGCTCATCTGTGGAGAATGAGAGCATGGAGGACTCAGGGCATGAAGACGGCAGGGAAGTCTTGGATAACTGTCATGAGACGCTTATTAAGAGATCAAGAAGAGATGAACTGCTTTTTTTTTTTTTGGTGAGGTGCATTAATAACGTAATTAAACCATGGGATGAAGTGTGGGCTTTAGGAAAAGGAAGTCAAGATGATTTTCCCAATTAAAATTAATGAGTTAACTTTTACCTGCAGTAGCCACAATGAGCTTGCTAATGATTGCCTTAGAAGGCCCAGGAATGCAGTTCACCCCATAACCTACGTATTTCAAGCAGTCTATTTTGGATTTAATTCAGTTTTCTAAACCTTTTCTACTTGCCCAATGTTCTGAAAGTGAATAATCAAAAAAAAAAATACAACCACTAGCTATAATGAGGCTGCCCAGAAACAAAAACCGCGTAGAAAAGCGAGAGCTTTTGGATTGTTTAATATATGGGCGGTTTTCAGCTTATCCAAGTTAATATTTCCACAAGCAATTATCCTAGCTGGCATCCACCCAGGACTCGGGGCAGACATTAATCCTTTGGCAGTAAATGTCGTGGGAATCCATAACTACCTAAAGCCTCCCTGAAGGGGGCGTGGGTTAGCCCTCTCTGAAAAATTGCTTCCCCTCTGACCCTTTGCCTTGTGTCTCCAACATAGAGATGGAGGGTTCGTTGGTGCCTGGTGTATTGGAATTTGGTTTTAAGTGTGGGATGCGTGTATTTAAAAAGCAAACCTCTTGTATGTGTTGGTGTGTACATTACAAGTAGACTAGAAAAGGAGAAAAGAAATCGCAGAGATTCACTTAAGTGGGAGCCCCTCAGTGACTTGTAGTATTTATTCCTAATGTACTGCAATGGAACAGGCAGATGGACAGATTGAGCATGGGCAGGTCTCAGACATGTCTCCAGTCTGCATTGTTAAGTGGCTAGGTTCCAGGTGGGACTGCAACTCCCCAATGTGGTCACAGACTTTGGTGTTCCCATCCCTCCTGCTAGTAGTAAAGTTAAGGACTTTGAAATTCCTGTCTTCTAATTATTTCTCCTGGGTTAGCTCCTAAACCTGCACAATCCACTCCAGACTTCTCTGAAGTGGTTCTCCTCTTGACTAAATGACCCACCCCTCACCTCTCTCTTTTATGCTTACTTACATATCTTACCTCCTGTATCAAACTATTAGTTTCTTAAGACAAGATTCAGAGCTTGCTACTTTCATACCCTCCGTAGCATCTAATTTCAGCATCTAATTTTATTTTAAGGAGTTATCCACTTGGCCATTGTTTTTAAAAATCACAAATCCAATTAAGACAGTGCTAAAAGCAATGGTGGTCATGATGTCTGTCTTCTTTCTGGTTCTGGAACTGAGCAAGTGCAGTCAGGATACCACCTTAGTTTTCTCCGTACATATCAGACCTTTGCTTCTAATTGCATGTGGGCATGTGCTAAAAATTGAAAAGGATTCTTGCAAGAAGGCCAATGAGGGCTTTCTAAGACAGTCTTAATGAGATTGGCCTGGTGCTTGCAAGTGGGATGGAATGCATTAAACTTTATAGAGATAGTTCCCACATTCTCAAATTACAGAGACTAGAGAAAAAGGTAAGAGTTATAAATTTAAGGTAATAACATACAGAAAAAAACCACTCCAGGCTTTTAAAGTCCTGTCTATATTCTGCCGAGCAGTCAATGCATTTTTAACAGATGAGATGAATTTTACATATAGCGTATGAGAATTGACAGCAGAGCCTGAGCTTGTTAGATGATGCCAGTATCATTTGGTCAGAAGTCTCAGAATAGTTTGTGGAACTTATTTCCAGAAGTTTTCTTGTCTAACAGACTCAGTAAAAATTTCAAAAAAAAAATTCCCAGCTGGCTTCAGGTGGCTGGGCCTCTCTAACCTACCATGGCTCTATGCCATTCATTCTGCAGCACAGTTCTTAATGTTGATGTCGAATGCAAAAAACAAACAAAAAAAAACTCGGTCTGCTTTAATTTGTTTAAAAGACAAGGGTTCTCTTGTACCCCTGGCTGGACTTGAACTCACTATGCAATTCATGTTGGTCTGGAATACACAGTCCTTCCAGTGTAGTCATTTGCATGGGGAGACGAAAGGCTTGACGAGTCGCGCCTGGCTCATGACTTTCTTCTCCATCAGTCAGTTCTGTTTTCTGTCCAGAGCAATAAATGATTTCCTCATGATATTAAAACACAACTGCTTTTACAGTAGGTAGCATTTAAATTAAACTGAAATGCCAAAATGTAGTTGGCATGGCATATTCTAAATATTGCTCAGCAATTAAGGTTCACAGTATGCACTTTTAAACACATGGTACATGGTTTCCTTGCATTGTTAAAATAACTTCCTTGACAAGACCAAAAGAAGTATCCAGCAATTATCTGCTAAATGCCAAAAAAATTTGCAATATTTGTCTTATATGCTGTGGTGGAAAGAACTGGTCTGTGTTCACTCATGTGGAAACCAAAGTCATAATCTCAGAGAATTAAAAAAATGTCTGTTTTCAAGCCAAAAACACACAGCTGAATCTGCTTCTGTGAAATGTATGTATTTTCTGTTCTAAGGAGCTTCCGGCCTCTGCCCTGAGCTCAGGTGGTTTGCATGTGTACATTTCTAATCTCACTCATATTGTGCTGTGAGTTTTGGTCAGCTGAAAAAAGAAAATAAAAAGACCACTACCTTATATGCCATCCTAGAACCTTCATCCAGTGACTGATGGAAGCAGAGGCAGACACCTACAGCTAAACACTGAACTGAATCCCTGGAACCCAGGGACAGAGAAGGAGGAGTGATGAGCAAAGGGGTAAAGAATGGGCTGGTGAAACCCACAGAAACAGCTGACCTGAACAAAGGGGAGATCTTGGACCCCAGACCAACAGCTGGGAGGCCAGCATGGGACTGATCCAGAACCCCTGAATGTGAGTGTCAGTGAAGAGGCCTGGACAATCTATGGGGCCCTGGGCAGTGGATCAGTATTTATCCCTGGCATACAAATGGACTTTGTGTGTCCATACCACAAAGAGATATGCTCTCTCAGCCTGGATTCTTGAGAGGAGGGCCTGGACCCTGCCCTGAGCTAAATGACAGACTCTGGATATCCCCTATGTGGAAGGGAGTGAGGATAGGGTGGGAAGCTGGGGGGGCGGTGATGGGGAGGGTGCGGGAGGAGGGGAGGGAGAGGGAGCTGGGATTGACATGTGAAACAAACTTGTTTCTAATTTAAAAATGTAATAAATAATAATAATAAAAAAGAAAGATCAAGTTTTTCTCAATGTTACCATTGCTACATTTTCATTCATTTAGTTTACATTTATTTGGTATGACTAGGGAAGTTAGAGATTGTGATAACCGAAAAAAAAATTCTATGTCCTAATTATCTGAATAGAGTCAACAAGTGAGGGCTTTTTTTCTTCAATGACAACCTCAACTACTGTGTCAGAAAACATTTAGGGGCCCAATTTGTCTTTTTCAAATTACTTTCTGATCTAAGAGTACCGGTATTTTAAACCAAGTGCATAGTCCTGTGATCTCTTAGTGAAAGCATGACTTCAACCTGCCTATTCTAATGCTGTTCTTCGCACCTTTTCATGGTGGGAGACTGTAAATACTGAGTTAGGAAGCCATATGGACTTGGTCCATTTTCCCCCTTCCTTTTCTTTGGTCATCCCCAAACATATCTGGGAAGGAAATTTCAAAGTGGAAATCCTATTTTTGCTTGCGTAGCCCACGCTAGCATTTGTTGCACAGATGCTCTTCATTCTCACACAGTGGAGGAGAATGTCTGAAGCCCACTTCCAGCGCTGATGATGATAACATGAAGAACTCTCTTCACTTCCCATCAGACTTTTGTTAGGTGGATCCAGATAGCCATCCCACGACCACTAGGAACACATGGCCTGGCGCTGACTTTTAATGAAACTTCTCAAAGGTTGCTTCACTCTGTTCCTCTAGGACAAAGAGAGTGGGCGTCAGGAAAATGCTAATTATAAGAAGATATTTTCTGGCTAATCATTAAAGGAGGCTCATTAATGATGGCCTCAAAGAGGTACAAGCATCAATTAAAAGGCAAATGCAATTATTTTACTGACAACTTAGGTATCCAAAAATGATGCCTTTTGTGAAGCAGTAATGTTTGGGCACGAATAAACCATTTCAAACTGCAGTTCACTTTATCATTTAGTACTTACCAGAGGATAAAAGTTAATGGAAATATGAAAAATGTTGAGTAAAGAATTACAGTAATTTACCAAGTAGTGTTGAGTTCAGTCAGTTTTACAGCTAGAATTCACTGAAACACCTAGCAATTATTTATACATAGCAAAAACTTGTTGGATTGGCTAATCAATAAAACATTACCTCTTCTGGAAGCATTTTTAAAATACCAAGCAAAAATTAAAACTGCACTGTATTCTATTTCTACCGAATGTATAAATTCCCCCAAGCAGTTAATTTTCAACATTTTTTCATTGTGATACTGTCATCAAAATCAATTAACAATCAGTCTTTTTCTATATATGTGACCTGGTCCATGGGGAGAACCTGCTTGCCTGCTTAGAAGTGTTTGCATGGTTTAAAGTGGTGGTTTAAATGCTATCAAGTTAATTAACATGCTTACCGACTGAGCTGTAGCTAAGTGAGCAATGAATTGAAACCATACTTTATAACACCAGTGTGGAAGAACACCTAAAGAATTCTGTAGGTATCACAACTAAGATAATTATGTCTTACTAGAATGAATTTTAAGTATGTTAGAAAAAAATTGTAGAAATTTTGAAAACAGTAAAGAAATATTGAGGACAGTTTAAGGACCTCTTTATTAGCAGTTTTTAAATGGTTTTTTCTAATTACACTTAATTGATAGATCCTCAGAGATTTTTTAAATTAGTTAATTAGTTATTATTATTACTATTATTATTTTTGTAACTCCTGGAGTTTAATTAGGATTGCCGGCATGAGCACTGGCCAGCTCTTTGCTGAACCATGGACTATTTACCATGGGCCAACACCACTGAAGGAAATGACTCTCCTTTACCTGGGTGATTTTGTGTGTGTTTGTGTGTGGACAGTGTGTGTGGCTAGAGGTTGGTATCAGGTGTTACCCTCAATTCCTTCTCTAATTATTTCCTGAGACGTGGTCTCTCACTGACTTGAAGCTCAGCAGTTTGCTTAGACTGGTTGGGCAACAAGCCCTACGGGAACTTTCATCTCTGTCCCCCAGTTCTTGGATTATATGCACCACCACATCCATCCTTTTTACATGGGGGCTGGGGTTGAACTTAACTCCTATTGTCTTCATGACAAATGCTTTACTCATTGAACTCTCTTCCTAGAACTGTCAATTGCTATTTTTAAATATTTTCTTCATCAAGCACAACTTGCTACATACTAAGGCATGAAGGCTGTGGGTGTTCATATGTTCTACCAAGAATGAATAGTGAGCAATAACTTCAACAAATAATCATACTCATTCTCATTAAAATATTTTCTATGTTTCTCCTCTTGACTGCTTAATTCCTTGTCTATGGTTATAACTTAGATATTCAGATTGCTTGTTTTGCTATTTCTTACCTCTATTATACAGGCTTGTTAGTACATCCTAAATGGTCTCAAACATACCTGGAAAATTTCAAAGATTTATCTCTTTTCATTCCAATGCTATAAGAAGTTTTTCTTTTTTCTTTCTTCTTGTTTTACTTCATGTTGCTTCTTTTGTCTATTTTTAAAATTTATATTAGAAATAAGCTTGTTTTACATGTCAATCCCAGTTCCCCTGCCCCCCCCACTAACCCTCTATCTCATCTCCTTTCAGCTCCCCATGGAGGGTGAGGCCTTCCATGGGGGATCTTCAAAGTCTGTCACATCACTTGGAGCAGGGCCTAGGTCCTCCCCTATATGTCTAGGTTGAGAGAGTATTCCTCTGTGTGGATTGGGCTCCCTAAGTCCATTCGTATACAAGGGATAAATACTGATCCACTACCAGAGGACCCATCGATTGCCTAGGCTTCCTCACTGATACCCACGTTCAGAGGGTCTGTATCAGTCATATGCTGGTTTCCCAGCTATCAGTCTGGGGTCCATGAGCTCTCCCTTGTTCAGGTCAGCTGTTTCTGTTGGTTTCACCAGCCTGGTCTTGACCCCTTTGCTCATCACTCCTCCCTTTCTGCAACTGGATTCTTGGAGTTCTGTTCAGTGTTTAGCTGTGGGTGTCTGCTTCTGCTTTCATCAGCTGCTGGATGAAGGCTCTAGGATAGGATTTAAGGGAGTTATCAATCTTATTATAGGGGAAAGGCATTTAAGGTAGCCTCTCCACTATTGTTTAGATTGTTATTGGTGTCTTTCTTGTAGATCTCTTGACATTTCCCTAGTGCCAGATTTCTCGTTAAACCTATAATGGCTTCCTCTATTATGGTATCTCTTATCTTGCTCTCTTCTATTCTTCCCCAGACTCAAACATCCTGCTCCCTCATGTCCTCCTCTCCCCTCCTGTTCTCCCCTCCTGTTCTCCCCTTCTTTTTATTCTAGCTTCCTCTCCCTTTCCCTTATGCTCCCAATTTGCCCAGGAAATCTTGTCCCTTTACCCTTCTCCAGGGGACCATGTATGTCCCTCTTAGGGTCCTCCTTGTTTCCTGCTGGTGTGGATTGTAGGGTGGTAATCCTTTGCTCTATGTCTAAAATCCATATGTGAGTGAGTACATACCATGTTCATCTTTTTGTGAATGGGTTACTTCACTCAGGATAGTTTTTTCTAGTTTCATCCATTTCCCTGCGATTTTCAAGATTCCATTGTTATTTTTTTCTGCTGAGTAGTACTCCATTGTGTAAATGTACCACTATTTCTCTATCCATTCTTTAGTTTAGGGGCATCTAGGTTGCTTCTATGTTCTGGCTATTACAGATAATGCTGCTATGAACATAGTGAAACAGACATCCTTGTTTTATGAATATGCATCTTTTGGGTATATGCGCTATAAGAACTTTTTCAAGTTTTCTTTTATAACACAATTTCTATGACCATTCCAAACCATGTGGCTTCCAGTTAAGAAAATCTGCACCTCACTCCAACAAGAATAACAGGTAGGCCCTACACCAGAGAATATCAACATCTGTATAAGAAGAACAGACTAGAATGATCATTCTTTTTAGAAACATTTTGTCATGGAAAGAAAGAGTTTGATGATGTGTTTTTAGAGAAACAAGTTGAGCATAATTTTGGAAACTGAAATGACAAGGAGACCATGACACTAACTCTACAGGAAACTATGGAAATCTATTACCAGTATGCAAATAAAGGTAGTAAGTAGGAGAGATGTGTGGGAAGACAAGAAAATGGGAATGAGGTTAGTGTGAGAAAACAGTATTGGTAAAAGAGTAAAGACAGTGTCTGTTTCTAGACAAGGCTAATCCCCAAAGCCACACACACTGATGAACAAGGCACAGTGGCTGCCCAGCTCTGAGACTGGTCTTAGATATCTAGACACGAAACTCTTTATTGTCAGATTCCAGCTGGCCCACAGTGGTAAAGGAACTAGGAAGGAGTCCTGAATTCTCTGTGTTATTCATGCCTGGTACCCTTTTCCTCATTTTGTAGAAACCTATTTCAGGATTTGAGTTTTTCAAGGACAAGAAACACATCTGTTATGTTTTCTTGGCATGAAACCTAACACAGTAAATGAGGGTGTTAAATAAATATTACCAAAAAAGAATAAAATGGAAGACCAATTGCAAAGAATAATCTCACCTCTGACCTACTTCTTATACTACTATTTTTTTATACTAGATGGGAAACACTAGTTTATTTTATATAAATTCTTGAAACTGGTTCAATTTTCACAGAATTATTTTTTTCTCTCCTCTACACCAGCCTAGCTGCTGCATGTTGGACTTGAAGGGCAGATATTTTAAGTGAATTCTTTACTTCGTAGGAAGATTTCTGACTGACTTTGACAAGCTGAAAAAATAAATATACTGAAAATCCCTGGGGATAAAGAAAGGATAATTTGTTTTGTGAAGGGAAAATATTCAAAGGATAATGCAAAACAAAAATGTGAGCAATACACAGATATCCACTAATATATATTGTTTTGCTGGAGGAAGTCATAAAATCACAGCATCTGGAGGCAACAAACATTGCCTACTGCAGTTTCTGGTACCCATATATAAACAAACCAAGACAAAGATAATCTAGGAGAGTTATCCAAAAGTAATAGGTAATAGACTAGAAAAAGAAGAGTTTGTCTTAAGTCTTTTGCCTCCCAATCTGGTACTCACAAAATGGAGTGATGTAAAGAGGATGATATTTTAATGACAAGTTATATAAAATGTCCTGCTTTGATCTTAGTGATTTTAAAAGATGTGAAAAAATAAAGAGAACTTGGCCAATATCCATAAAAATCCAAACAGACTGAAGTTTGGGCAATGGAATTTAAAGGGGGGAGTTTCAAGGATCATAATTGTTAAGCTTTCAGGGGAAACATAGCTAACAGCTACAGGCAAAAATGATTTTACAATGGAGTAGTAAGCAGCTGTATTGTGCTCTCCAAAGTCAGAGTGGAGATCATAGTAGTTGTGATCTCTATTAGTTATGAATAGGTTTCTTCTCTAGGCAGGTAAGAACTGATTTGGGACTCAAAATTCTGTGACTAGCATTGAAGAGAAAAATATCTAAATATGTGGATCATGGATGACATTCAATTTTTGTTTGCTATTGTTTGGCTTTCAAGGCTAATCTTTGATAGCTATGGCTGAGATATAACATGAACTTTGCAACGTTTAGTCATTGTTCTTGCTTTCTCACATAAAGATCCTAAATATTGTATAATTTCCTAAGTAAGAAGGCTTATTGGAATCTCCCTTGTATTTGATTTTGTACGAAGTTGCTAAAGCCTTACAATTTATTAAGTGACTACTAATGGGATGAAGTGGAGTAAGGCCGGAAGACAGCTTCAGG